TTTATAGTTTAAAAAGTAAAATTAACTGAATAGTAACATATACTTATGAGTTATATTGACAATTAAAGCTATTATAGAACCAGGACAAATTTTCTTGTAAAATGTTCAAATCTTTCTCCAATCATTAATCTTTTAAACAATTAAAATTGAAAATGGAACTTTTACTAAGTATTCCCAAACCAGTCTTAGAAGTTCAACATGCAAGTGTCAAACATTAGGAAGGGGTGGAGTGGCAGAAACTACAAGTGACATGTTACATCAGGAGACACGTACACTTTTCTTTTTGGAACACTGAACATGTCACACAACAAAGTTATGTGGAACAAAGTGTGACCAGTGGCTGCCTCCATATAACCAATGATTCCATTTTCAAGAGTCACTGTGTCCCATTGTATCTATACATCAAGGCTGATGCAAGACATTTTGTACACAGACACCTCCTTGTCAAAAGTCAGCTAATGGAGTAGGTGGTAGGTGGGTAGACAGTGAAGCATCTTCTGTCTTCCCTCTCTGAGCCTGAGATCTAAAATTCCAACAGTTACAGCTGGTATTCATTGTCAGAAGATAACTGTCTAGGATTCATGACGGTACAACCAGTATGCTTCAGATATATGCCCTATCTAGCAGGTTATGTCATCTGAGAAGTCTAGAATGAGGTAAAACTCTTCAAAGAAAATGTAGACATCAACAGGAAAATGTCTTTAGATTTTTGGCAATTAAAAGCATTTACAGTTCTTGACCAAAGTATTGGTTACATAAATGCATATGTTTGTCAAAATAATTTTTAACTCCAGTTCTGCACATTTCAATGTATAAAATTTTACCTTAATTTTAAAAAGCACTTATTTAATTAAGCCCAGAATACTAAGCATAAAAAGGCAAAATAAAGAGAATGAAGACTATGAAAATAAAAGGATTCTATCTTGTGGAATGTGAAGATATCAACACTTTAATTTCTCTCCAAATCCTCAATACCATGTATTTTTTAAAGATTTTATTATTTGAGAAAGAGAGAGTACAAGCAAGGGGAGGCAGAGAGGGACAAGCAAACTCCCTGCTGAGCGGGGAGCCCTATGTGGGTGGTTCCTAGGATCCTGAGATCAGGACCTGAGCCGAAATCAAGAGTCGGATGCTTAACTGACTGACCCACCCAGGCACCCCAACGATAGCATATTTTTTAAAAAGATTATTTATTTATTTATTTGAGAAAGAAAGTGCTGGCGCACGCAAGCCAGCACAAGGTAGGGAGGGGCAGAGGGAGAAGCAGACTCCCCTGAGCAGGGAGCCAGATGCAGCTAGATCCCAGGACACTGAGATCATGACCTGAGCTGAAGGCAGACAAACAATAGCGTATTTTTAAAAAGCATTTTGTAAAAGTGTAATCTATAACCTATTAAAAACATTCTGTGTACATTTATTTATTCAAGTCACACGTGAGTACCTAGTTTGTGCAAGGAGCTGTGCTAGGTGTTGGGGACACAGTGGTGACAAGACCCTGGCCTCTCCTCATAAAGTTCAGTCTAATGGGGAAACAAGGCCCTAAAGAGTTGTTAATAATGATTGTGATAAATGCTACAAAGGAAGAGCACTGGGTACAATGAGAGCAATTGCGGCCAGTAGGCAGTACGCACTATAGGTCAGGGGAAAGCTTACCAGAAATTTAAGCTAAGACTTAAGGGATAAGTAGGAGCAAATCACATAAAAAGAGGAAACATTCTAGAAACATTTCCACACAGAAGACATGTGAAGATTTCAAGATGAGAGAGAAGAATTTCAACAGGGCAGTAACTTGATCATGTGCTTTCAAATAATCACTCTAGGAGCAATATGGAAAAAAGAAGAGCAAGGAGCAGAATGAATGTTATAAGACTAGTCACTGAATACTCCAAGAGAGAAATGAAGGTGCTTTCTAGTTGGGTAGCTATAAAAATGGAAAAACTGCAGATTCTAGAAATATATGATGTAGGGAGAAGAGAAGACACTGACAAGAGTAATTCCCAGGTTTCTGGCATGAACAAATGGAATGATATCAATTATGCATTCATTTGGAAATGCCAAGTTTGAAGTACCTCTCAGACAACAAAGGTAGCCATCAACCTGACAAATGAATATAACAAATCTGAATCTCAGAAAATGAGGCTGGAGATGCTATCTGGAAATCATCTGCACAGAGGCACTAACTGAAGCTATGGAAGTAACTGAGATGAACCAGGAGATGGAAGTCCAGGTTACTAAGCCCTAAGAATGCTTCTATTTAAAGGGCAGAGAAGGAGGAGTAGCTGAGAAGGAACAGTCGGAAAGGTAGGAGGCATACCGAAGAAGTGCTATGTCACTGAAACCAAGGACCCAGCATGTGAGAAGAAGAGTAGTCAACTGTGCCCAATGCTGCGGAAAAAAATCAAGGAGCATGAGGATTCCCAGTGATCTCTGCCTTCAGAGATGTGCAGACATGGTGATCCTCGTAAGAGCAAGACTGAACAGCATAATTGAGGAAGAAGCTTAACTGGCACATATTCAAAGTGAATCAAAGATGAGAAAAGGGAGCCAAGGGTCAACATTTCTTATGAGACATTTGCCTGTGAATGGCAATGAGAGACCCTGGGAGGCAGCACAGGGGCCCAACAGAAAATTTAGTATAATTTTATTCTGAGGATGTGAGTGGCCTCAACATGTCTCATGCTGATGAATAAGACTTAGTAAAAAGGTAGAACCTGAAAATACTTCAGGGTTTTGACAAGGTAGAAAGGGATGTGATCCAGCTTAGCACAGGAGGAAAACAGGAGAGGGGAGACAATGCCTCCTTTAACGAGGGGAGACAATGCCTCCATTAAAACAGGCGGGAAAAGGAAAAACACAAAAGGGAGAAAATACAGATAAAACTCTGGATATAGTGGGAAGAAATGAACACAGGTTCCCCCTGATGCTTGCTCTTTCCTCTGAGAAGTGCAAGGCAAGATCATTTAAGAGTGCGGAGGCTGGAGAGCTAGAGCTTTGAAGAGAAACTAGTAGAGGGAAAATGAGACCACTGTACAGTGTGAAGGGTCAACTGGAGGCTTGTGACAAAGGACAAATAGTGGCACTGACTACCCTGTGTGGAGTTTCCTCCAGCAGAGGCCCAGGAAAGGTAAGTTGCTGGGTTTATCCAGGGCTGTGGTACTAACAGATGGGTTTGATGAAAGGATGAAGGGACAAGAAACCTTAATCCTAGTGATTAAGGATTTTTACTGAGCACATTACTATGGTCCACGTGCTATTAAGTGCTGTACTTGAAGGCACCTTCAAGCCTAATGGCTACCCTACCCAATGAGCACAGTATTATTTTCATTTTATAAATGAGGAAGCTGAGGAATAAACTAATTAGTTTCTTGACTATGGTCACATTGAACAGGCAAGATTCAAGGTTAGACATTTCATTTGGGAACCCTCTCCCCCACCCCCACCCCCCAAAAGGGAACTGAAATAAAACAAAATTTTTTGTTTTTTAAAGGTTTTATTTATTTGACAGAGAGAGACACAGCGAGAGAGGAAACACAAGCAGGGGGAGTGGGAGAGGGAGAAGCAGGCTTCCCATGGAGCAGGGAGCCCGATGCGGGTTTCGATCCGAGGACCCTGGGATCATGACCTGAGCCGAAGGCAGACGCGTAACGACTGAGCCACCCAGGCACCCCAAAAACAGAAATTTTTAAAACAAAATTATGTTAAGAGTGTGTGTATAATTTTTAAAAACTTCTTTTATCAACAGAATAATGGACCATGAAATTACAAGTGGTTTTCTATTTTAGTGTTTGTTAGTGTTAAAATTTAAAGACTCATCAAATCCAGAACTTAAGGAGAACAGTATAAGCTAACTTATTTCACAATTATATCCCAGGCACTGTATGTTTTCACACGCTATCTCATTTACCTCAAAATGTCAGCACAGAATGAATCTATATCCTGAAGAGGAAAATGACACTCAGAAAGGCTAAATACGGTTATACTTTTTATCAACCCCTGAAAAATGAAGTAGCCTCTCCCTGACCCCCTTTGCCACTAAGCCCTATAAAACCAGGGGTAAGAGGCCTGACTGCATTCTCTGAGCAGAACAAAAAACTCCACAGCTGTTTGCTCTCATTGGAAATTCTTTCCAACCATTGCTTTATTCTATCAAGTGAAAGAAACTAGGAAATGCTCTCACCATTATAACTAAAATCAAACTAAAGAAACTGAAAATAAAAATGTGAAAAGCAGAGAGTAAAACCTTAGAAGAAAATCTTATGTCCAACTCCCAAATATAAACACTGAAGTAACAAGAAAAGTTATTTGACTTGTTAATTTTGCACTGACACAGTAATTAAGCTTGATGAACCTAGCTTCATCTATAACCACACAAAGGTAAGAAAAAACTCGACAGTTTAATTTCCTTGAAAGTTATTAAACAGCTTAGCGCATGTCAATGTTTTCCAAAATGCCTTGCTGAATTTATTTTTCTAGACTGACAAAAACAAAAAACAGTAATAATAGGTAAGAAATGGAAATGTATCTGAATAACATACATACTGCAAAGATTTATTAGGACAGCAGCTATTAGAGTATAATTACTACAAGCATATTTGTATAAAATGACACCGCCATCATTGAAGATATAAGAACATTAGGTCTTAAAATCTTGTAAGAGAATACATCTCTCATGCTGTCATTCAACCGTTACTCAGAAAGAGATGTTTTAGTAAGGTTTTCAACATTTTCCATTTTGAAATACAAGTGCTGTACACCAAGAAAAAAATTAAGACTTTTCTCTTTCAGTCTTCCATTCTTATCATTAAATATATGAACAATTAAGATTCTACCTCATATAAGCTAAGGCTGGTCCCTGCAAAGGAAATATTGTTTATTTTTTTAAAAAAATAACACCTTCCACACTGACCTGTACCATCCAACTAAACGTAGCAGAAAGAAGAAAGACACTGTGGTTTGAAATGCCTAACTTCTTAAAGGAAAAACAAAAAAGCTCTACTTACCATATACATTAGTATGTCTCTAATCATCACCATAGCTGTTTGATGATCATTCCAAGCTTGATTTAGCGTTTGAAGAAAGTTGTTATTCAATGAATTTAGTACATCTTCTCGCACCTATTAACAGAAGAGTTCATTAGAGTTTGTTTACACACACACACACACACACACACAACATGCATTCTCATACGTATACATGCACATATCTGTTCAATAAAATAATGACGTGGAATCTTCAATTTTACATCAAAGAAATAGGTTATAGGCCAGTAGAAACATTTTAAGCTATAATATAACCTAAATAGAGATAACTAACAAATGTGTTGTAGAGTCCAGACCCATCTCCTGATCTCCAGAATCATAAAGCAACCTCCGGAGCATTTCTCAACCCTCCAACAACCTAACATCACAGTCAAAATAAAATCCTAAATATTTATAAGGAACTACAGGGCCCCAGAGAACTGGCCCCAGGCTACTGCTCCAACTAAATTTCCTACTACACCTCCCCTTCCCCATCTCTGTAGAATGGCTGAAAATGCTGATTTTGGAATCAAACTACTGGGCTCAACTCCAGCCCCCTGACTAGCTGTGTCACTTTGGGTAGATTATTTCATCTCTGTGGCTCAGTTTCCTTACAGGTGAAACAGTACCCATCTCGTAGAACTGCTGTAAGGGCTAGATGAACACTAGAGACACACTCAGAACAGTGTCTGGCACTCAGTCAACACTTACTGAGCAGGAACTATTAACTCAGGATGCTCCGGCTACAGTGGCGCTGCAACCAGCAACTGTGTTCTACCCTTTCTTCTGCGCGTTTCACACAGCTTACGCCCTCATTTTTTCTGCCCAAGTTTCACTTCCAGAGAGGTCTTTCTTGACCACTCTATTTCAAACAACTTCTATACCCACTCTTCACCCTACACTAATTTTTCCTCACAGTACTTGTCACTGCCTACTGTTTTACAAATGTATTCACTTACTGTTCCTGTCACTAAAATGCCAAGATCCACAGCAGCAGGGATTTTGTCTTTTCCATGTGTGCTTCCCACACCTAGAACAGCACCTGGCATCTAGAAGACCCTTTACTTCATTCATCCTACCCGTCAAAACCATGATCCACCACCAACAAGGTAAGCTTTCTCAGGATACCTATCTTTGCACATCACGTTGCCTTGAGTCTGAAATGCCTTCCTAATGCAATCCTGCTAAGACTACTCAGGCTTCAAGAATTCCTTTCCATAGTCTACAAGCATATTGCCACCTTCTCCAATAAGAGGTTCCTGACTACGACTACTACTACTACTACTACTTCCTGCTATGCTATCTGTCCAATGGTATGACTACTGACTAGAAAACTGAATTCAGACTCTGGTTCTAGCTTTATCAAGAAGCAGCAGTTTGTCCTCTAAGTTCCTATAACACTTGGGGACTATACTGCCAACCTCTCTAATTATTCCAACCCACCCAATCCTCCATGGTCTAGCTCAACTCATAATTCCAGCCTAACTAGACATGTTCTAGCTCCAAACACCTGTAGTAGTGATTAAAGATTTTTAGGTTGGGGAGAATCTGAAGTCATGGTGTTTTGTGAGAAACCAATTATTTAATATGTGTCGAGTATATAGATATCTATAAACCTGAATTATAAACAGTAAATAAAGTGTCACTGCATATTAGTACTAGCATAAACGAGTATAAACAAGTGGTTACAAGTGCCAAAGACTGGAAAAAAAAATACACAAAACACACTATTCCCAACAAATGAGAGAATAAATTCAAACTGAGAAAACTGTATCTAATTTTTCTTATATATTAGAGGAAAAACAGCCGTTAAGAGATTTTAGTGATGGAACAGTATGTCTGTTGTACTAAACGTGTAGTATGAAAACCACTAGCCTATACCACATAATTACATAATCTTTTGTTCATAAGACTAATAATCTCCTTGACTTCAAAATACATCACCCATAAATATGACTATATCAAAAGTGATAAACACTCATGTAGGTTCGTAGACAGTACCATGTTAAACAAATACTTTTTGTAAAGTGGATACTAAATCATTTATTCCAACTCGTTAAGCCTGGCACTTGTCAGATGCAAATTCCCATGACAGCTAACACTAAAAAAAACCCTACAAACAAAATATGCCTATTTATAAAATTCCTCACCAATCTTCATATTCTTTCAGTGAACCACTGAATTTTGAGTAGCAATTAAATCAATGACAATACCAGAGAAACTGTACTACATGAAAAAAATATATTCTGAACATCAGAACATCTAGCAATTAATTATTCTTAAGGACGTAAGTGAACTTCTGTATACCCTTCTATTATAACGTCAAGTTACATGTTAACAAAGTCACCCTAATTTTGAAATGCAAAAATGTACCTGGTATTATCTGTTAGATGAATGAAAAACTGACCACTTAAATTTTTAAAAGTTACCAAAGAAGACGTGTGTCCTAAAATTACTGATTTATATACACTTTAAAATAAAATATCTCAAGTATTTATGTAACATTTATACTTATACCAGCCTTTCGACAAAATAAAAATGTGATCAACTAGCACAATGTGTCATAAACGATAAAACTGCTTTATTTGCATCATACTTCAAAACGTTATCCTGACAAATCAATAACAATGAATTTTACTTAGCAGAAAATAGCTGCTATTAATTTTGTTATATTTAGTTTGATTTTTACTGTTGAAGTTAGACATGGTTGGTCATGGATCTGCTTTGGCCAATGACTTAAGCAGAAATGACACATCATTTTTACATAATGTAAACTTTACCATCTTAGTAATTTTTAAGTGTAAAATTCAGTGGTATTAAATACATTCACAACAATTAACCTGTCACAGGACATGGGAGTTCTAAGAGGTACCCCAGAAGATCTCCTGCTTGTCAGATATACTGTTATATTTATTTTTGAGTGATTATGCACACACACACACACACACACACACACACACACACACACACACACACAGACATAGGACTATAAGACATAAAATAAATGCTTTAGATAAACTTGCTGCCTTCTCCTAATTATTCAGATCACTCTATGAACAAATAATTCTTCCCCTAATGCTGCCTCAGAAAACTGTCCTTCTACTCTTGATACATGAAAAATGAACAAATATTTGTTCAAATATACATAATAAAAGGTAGGAATGAGATGAAAATTCAACCTTTATGAAGGTTAAAATGCGCTTTTTAAAAGGTAAGGTTGCATATAAACCAAAAACACATTAAGTGGGGGATAAAAAGATTTAACCCTTATTTTACAAATTGTTAACAGAATACAGAAAATTTGGAATTGGGCTCAGTCTGTGTGTGAATAACATTGTTAATCTCACACCCTAATAATCACCATTAGTTTTTGCATCAGCAAAGGCAAACAGGAAGGGATCCTGCTACAGAGGTAGTACCAGTACCAAAGGGGGCCCGCAGATCAGGTATATCCAGCATTATTATATAAGAAAAGCTACAAAAAGGTTACCCAGGTGAAGAGCTGGAATTTGAAGGGCAAAACAATGAAAAACAGGCAACAAAGCCATGGAAACTGACAGTAGGATGGGACCAGCTGTGACAAGGCTAAAATGAGTGGTTGAAAACTGATGGCTTGTTCAGGGCACTTAGCCTTGCACAAAGCAAGGTACAGACAGTAGTCAAGAGCAGTAGATCATGAACCTGGCAGAGAATTAGAATCACCTGAAGAGCAACAGATTTTGCTCAAGAGAATGAGATGACAAGACACAGACTGAGAGAAAATATTTGCAAAAGGTGTATCTGGTAAAGGACTGTTACCCGATATACACAAGGAATTAATAAAACTCACCAAGAAAACGCAATCTAAAATACTGGCAAAAGACCTGCCCACCTCACCAAAAAAGACAGCCAGATGGCAAATAAGCACACTGAAAGATGTCCAACATCTAAGAAATTGCAAATTGGGGGGCGCCTGTCTGACTCAGTCTGTAGAGTGTGCAACTCTTGATCTTGGGGTTGTATGCTGGAGCCCTACGTTGGGTGCAGAGATTACTTAAAAATAAAATCTTTAAAAAGAAAGAAATTGCAAATTAAAACAATGGGATACCCTTACACATTTATTAGAATAGCGAAAATCCAAAACACTGACTACACCAAATGCTACTGACGATGTAGCGATCAAGCACTTCTACTCACTGCCGGTGGGAATGCAAAATGATACACAGCCACTTGGAAGACAGTTTGGTAGTTTCTTACAAAACCACATGTACTCCTACCACACGATCCAGCAATTAGGCTCCTTGCTATAAATGCCAAAGGAGTTGACAACTTATGTCCAAACAAAACCCTACACTCACATGTTTATAGCTTTATTCATAATTGCCAAAACTTGGAAACAACCAAAATTTCCTTCAGTAGGTGAAACAATAAACTGTGGTACATACAGACAATAGAATATTATTCAGCACTAAAAAGAAATGATCCATTAAGCCATGAGAAGAGATGGAGGCACCATAAGTGCGTATTACCAAGTAAAAGAACACAATCTGAAAAGGCTACTACCTACCGTATCATTCCAACATCCTGGAAAGGGCAAAACTAAAGAGGCTATAAAAATATCAAAATAAGAAAAAGATCAGATGCTAGGAGTTAGGGTGTAGGGAAAGATGAATAGAAAGAGCACAGAGGATTTTTAGGGGAATGCAACTATTCTGTATGGTACTATAATAGTGGATACATTTCATTATACATTCATTAAAAATCCACAGAATATACAAACCAAGAATGACCCCTAACGTAAACTATGGACTTTGGGTGATAATGATAAGTCATTGTAACAAATGTACCACTCTGGTATGGGATGCTGATAGTGGGGGAGGCAGTGGGAATATGAGACGTGACTGTACCTTCTCCTCAATTCTGCTATGAATCTAAAACTGATTTAAAAAATAAAGTCTATTTAAAAAAAAAAAAAGATTTTGGGGCTGACCCAAGACCAAGAAAAGACAATCTCTTTTTTAAAGCTACCCAGGTGATTCTCATACACAGGAAATCACTTAGGTTTCTTCGGTTTAAGAGTCACACACTAACCGTTTCCGTTCCTTCCCTTTGCAGAA